AATGGCAATACTTCCCAAGGCAATCTAAAAATTCAACGCCATACCTATCAAAATTCCAACCTCATTCTTCAAGGAAATAGAAGAGGCAATTCAAAAATTCATATGGAACAATAAAAGACCCCGAATACCAAAAACGCTCCTCAACGGAAAGAACACTGCTGGAGGAATATCAGTACCAAATTTCAAACTCTACTATAAAGCCTTAGTAATCAAAACAGCTTGGTATTGGCATAAGAACAGACCTCAGGACAAATGGAATAGAATTGAAAACCCAGAAATGAACCTACAGACCTATAGCCATCTAATCTTCTATAAGGGAGCAAAAACAGTAAAATGGAAGAAAGACAGCCTCTTCAGTAAATGGTGCTGGCAAAATTGGTTAACTACTTGTAGAAAACTAAAGCTAGATCCTTATATACCACCCTGCACCAGAATCAACTCCAAATGGATCAAAGACCTCGAAGTCAAAGAAGACACTCCGAAAACATTACAGGATGGAATAGGCGAAACCATAGGTCTCCTTGGCTCAGGCCGAAATTTTCTGAATAGAGACCCGGAAACACAACAAATAAAAGAAAGGTTGGACAAATGGGATTGCATAAAGTTGCAGAGCTTCTGCATGGAAAAGGACATAGCTAGTAAGATCAATAGAAAGCCCACTAGCCATACAACGGACAGGGGTCTCATATCTAAAATATACTTGGAACTCAAAAAATTAAATCCCCCAACAACAAATCCTCAAAGAAACAACTGCCCAATAAATAAGTGGGCTAAAGACTTAAAGAAAAACTTCTCTGAAGAAGAAAGAAGGATGGCCAATAGACACATGAAGAAATGCTCAACATCCCTAGCCATAAAGAAATGCAAATCAAAACAACATTGAGATACCACCTCACTCCAATTAGAATGGCAAAAATCAAGAACTCTAACAACAACAGATGCTGGAGGGGATGTGGAAAGAAGGGAACCTTACTTCATTGTTGGTGGGAATGTAAACTTGTTCAACCACTTTGGAAAGCAGTATGGAGGTTCCTCAAAAGACTCCACATAGAGCTCCCCTATGTCCCAGCAATCCCACTTTTGGGCATTTCCCCAAATGTTTACAAACAAGACCACACTAAAGCTACCAGCACAACTATGTTTATTGCAGCATTATTTACCATAGCTAAGATATGGAACCAACCCAGATGTCCCTCAGTAGATGAATGGATCAAGAAAATGTGGTATATACACAATGGAATTCTATGCCTCCATCAGAAAGAATGACATTGCCCCATTTGTTAGGAAATGGCAAAACTTGGAAAAAATTATATTAAGTGAAGTAAGCCAGGCCCAAAGAAACATAGATCCCATGGTTTCCCTTATTTGCAATATCTAGTATATGTATGAGTCAAGCGGAAAAGGTCAGATAATATGATGTTAGGAAAATGAAACCTTAGATATGTATTTTAATGTTTTTTTTCCTTGCATGCATTTGTTTCTAACGCATTTATAAGATTATCTCTTTGTAGCTTTGTATGTCCCTCCCCCACAGTATAACCCCTGCTTTCACTATATTTGATGTCAGTATAACTTGTAGAGGAGATCTGGAAAAACAAGTCGTTTAAGGATACAGGTGGACCTGTTGCAGAAATGAGAAGTACAAGTTGTCATATCGAAAATGAGCTTTACAATGTTGGTGTGGGGGGGGGGATGCGGGGAGGATTGGGGAGGTGAGGGGGGGAAGCTGGGAAGGGATGTGAAGGGTAAACAAAGGAGGAGGCTGCAATGCTTGATAAGAAATGTACGCATTAACCTGCCCATGTAATTGTAACCCCTCTGTATAGTGTGTTCACAAAAAATAAAAAAGAAAGAAACAGCTAAGATTCAGAATATAATAAGGGGATAGTAAGTTTGAGAATCAGAAAGATATGGACAAATTTCTAGCAAACATTGACATGCCCAAACTAACCAAGATGATTTAAACCAACTTAAGAGTCCATATCAATCAATGAAATAGAAGCAGCAATAAAAGACCTCGCACCCAAGAAAAGCCCAGGATCACATGGATTTATAGCTGAGCAATACAAGGACTTCAATGCAGAACTCACACCAATACTCTTCCATCTCTTCAGTGACATTGAAAGCAAAAATTCACGACCACACTTTTTTATGAAGCCATCATAACCCTCATCCCAAAACTACGCAGAGACTCATCAAAGAAAGAGAACTATAGACCCATTTCTTTGATGAATATCGATGCAAAACTTCTCAACAAAATCTTGGCTAATAGACTTCAACAACTCATCAAAAAAAAAACAACATACACCAATATCAAACAGGATTCATTTCAGAGATGTAAACCTGGTTCAATGTACACAAAACAATATAATTCATCACAGAAACAAGAGCAAGGATAAGAACCACATGATTATCTCAATAGATGCAGAAAAAGTATTTGACACTATCCAAAACTGCGTTATGGTGAAATCTCTAGAAAAAGTAGGAATCCATGGAACATTCCTCAATATAATGAAGGCTATATTTGACAAACATATAGCCAGCATTATACTTAATGGCAAAAAGTTAAAGCCATTTCCTCTAAACTCAGGAATGGGACAGGGATGTCCACTCTCTCTACTCCTCTTCAATCTAGTATTAAAATGCCTAGCCAGGGCAATAATACAAGATGCAAACATAAAGGGGATCTAAATAGGGAAAGATGACATGATCTTTTATTTAAAGAACCCCATGGTCTACACTCTCAAGTTACTTGAGCTTATCAGAAACTTTGGCAATGTAGCAAGGCATAAAATTAACCATCAGAAATCAGTGGCTTTCCTGTATGCCAATAATAAGATGAGTGGAACTAAAATTAGGAAAGCAACCCCTTTTGTAATATCGCCAAAAAAAAAAATACTTAAGACTTAACAAAAGAAGTGAAGGACATGTATGATGAAAACTTTAAAAACCTGAAAAAAGAAATTAAACCAGAACTAAGCAAGTGGAAAAACATTCCATGCTCCTGGATTAGGAGGATTAACATCATGAGAAATGCCAATCCTGCCAAAGACTATCTACAAAGTCAATTTAATACCTATCAATATCCTTACCTCATTCTTCAATGAAATAGAAGAAGCAATCCAAAAATCCATATGGAACAATAAAAGACCCTGAATAACAAAGCAATCCTTAGTAGAAAGAACAGTGCTGGGGGAATATCAATTCCACATTTCAAACTCTACTACAAAACCATAATAATCAAAACAGCTTGGTACTGGCACAGGAACAGACCTGAGGACCAATGGAATGACCCAGAAATTAACCCATAGGACTAAAGTCACCTAATCTTTGACAAGAGAGCTAAAGAAATAGAATGGAATAAAAAACTTTTTCACTAAATGGGGTTGGCAATATTGGTTAAACACTTGTAGAAAACTAAAGCTAGATTCTTCTATATCACCCTGCACCAGAACCAACTCAAATGTATCAAAGACTTCGAAATAAAAGCAGACTCCCTGAAAACATTACAGGAAGGAATAGGAGAAACTCTAGGGCTCCTTGGTGCAGGCCAAAAGTTTCCTAATAGGAACCCAGAAACACAACAAATCAAAGAAAGATTGGGATTGCATGAAGTTGCAGAGCTTCTGCTTGGCAAAGGACATAGCTGGCAAGATCAATAGAAAGCCCATGAATTGGGAGAAGATCTTCTCTAGCCATACAACAGACAAGGGTCTCATATCTAAAATATACTCAGAACTCAAAAAACTAAATCCCCCAACAACAAATCCTCAAAGAAACAACTGCCCGAATAATAAATGCACTAAAGAATTAAAGAGAGACTTTTCTGAAGAGGAAATGAGAAGGCCAATAGACACATGAAGAAATGCTCAATTTCTCTAGCCATAAAAGAAATGCAAATGAAGAGAAAGTTGAGATTCCACTTCATCCCAATTAGAATAGCTATAATTAAGAACTTTAGTAACAACAGATGCCAGAGGTGATGTTGTCAAAAGGGAACCCCGCTGCATTGTTGGTGGGAGTGTAAATTTGTTCAGCCACTCTGGAAAGCCATATGGACATTCCTCCAAAGAGTCCACATAGAGCTCCTTATGACCCAGCAATCCCACTTTTGGGCATTTACCCAAATGATCACAACATGGTCATACCAAAGCTACCAGCACAACCATATTTATTGCAACATTATTTACCATAGCTAAGATATGGAACCAACATAGATGCCCCTCAGTAGATGAATGGATCTAGATAATGTGGTATACACACACACACACACACACACACACACACACACACACACACAATGGAATTCTATGTCACCATCAGAAAGAATGGCATTGCCTAATTTGTTAGGAAATGGAAAGACTTGGAAAAAATTATATTAAGTGAAGTGAGCTAAACCCAAAGAAACATAGGTCCCATAGTTTCCCTTGTTTGCAATGATTAATACATGTCTATGACAAGCAGAGAAGATCAAAGGCTATGTACATAAGACCACATAAGATAATGTTAAGGAAAATGTACCCCAAGTCAAAGACACAATGGTTTTTTTTCCCTTTCTTGCTAGTGTTTTTAATGTACACTGTGATTCTTTTGTTTCTTTTGTATGTTGTTCTCCCATGGTATAACCCCTGTTTTCACTGGATTTGATGCCGGTGTTCTGCATCTTGTATATGCATTTTTGTAATTTGGGGAGGGACAAGGATATAGTGGAATGCTTAAATGGGAATGCAGGCTGATCCATTGTGACGACGAGATGTACAGAACACTATGTTGAAAACGAACTTTACAATGTCCAGGTGGAGGGTGTGGGAGGAGTTGGGGAGGTGGGGAGCAAAATGATGGTAGGGGGAAAACAAAGGAAGAGGTTAACAATGCTCGCTACAAAATGTCCTACTCATGTAATTCTAACTCCTCTGTACAACATTTTACAATAAATAAATAAATATAAAAAAGAGGCTATAATATTGTTTTTCCCTTTTCCTACATGTGAGGACACAGAGGAGATGCTTTGTGAATCAGACATAGGGTCTTACCTAACAGCAAATCTACTTGAAATTTATGTTAGGATTTTCAGCCTCCAAAAGTGTGAGGAATTTATTCAGCTCTTTATAATCAGTCCAGTTTATGATTTTTATAATAATAAAAAGGAATCTACCTATTTGAAGCATATACATATATTGATATTAATATTTAATAATCTGAAAACTTAATACAAATATAATGAAATGGTTGAAATGGCAGACAACAATTTAAAACTTTAGATTCAGACAGATGAAGTAAGGATGTTAATTCAAGCGCTGGCAAGGAAGCCTGCAATATGGATTACAAATTCATAAAGGAAACTGAAACTCTGGAAAACAAAACAAAAAAGCAGAATTGACAGCACCCAGATATTGAGTTCCAGCCCCTGTACCAGCATAAACACAAAACAAAAGAAAAATAAAAACAAATAAAAAATACACTTCAAAGCATCACCCAAATTCTAGAAAAAGCAGAGAACATAATGTTAGTAAACAAAAGCAAAAGTGAAAGAATATTATATTTAGAAAGATGTAAATAAAGAATATACAAGCAAGAAACTGTCAAAATATGTGAATTACCTCTAAAATTAAATACTTTGCAAAATCATGAACCAGGAGTATTTTTTTTGAAAATGTTTATGCTGCTGAAAAATGAGCTGTGGATTCACTGAAACTTCTGTCAAAATTCCAATGACATTCTTCAAATTACAAGAAGAATATTTTAAAATTCATATGGATGCACTAAAACAAAAAATTCATAACAACATCCAGCAGTACTTATCAAAAGGAACAATGCTAGAGACAACCAAACACATGGCTTTGACTTATATGTCATAGCAAAAAAAAAAAAAAAGCTGCATGGTACTGCTTCAAAAGGTATACAGCAAAAGTATGCACTGGGAAAAAGATATCTTCCACAAATAATGCTGGAAAAATGTATGTTGACATGGAACTAGATTCTTATTTCTTACCATATATAATATATTAAATAATCAGCAGAACATCAGTGACTCTTGCTTGAATGCCTTACTCAGGATGCTGAGATCTGAGGATCTTGGTTTGTAACTGGCCCAGTGAGAAAAATCATTGTAAAACACTTCTGTCCAATTAAATACTAAATAACTAAAGTGGAGCTATGGTTCAGAGTGGTAAAGCACTAGCCTTGAGCAAAAGACAGCGCCCAAGTCCTGAGTTCAAACCTTATGAATGACAAAAAAGAAGTGTGTGTATATGTGTACACATACATATAAAATGTATATATGTATATAAACATACAAACATATAATCATATATGTATATATTAAATATTCATATATTATATATATGTATATATATATATATATATATATATATATAAACATGAAACTTTGAAACTAGAATTAGAGGGCAACATCAGGAAAACACTCGATAATATTGGCAAAGCCAACAAATTCCTGAAATATATTCCCATAGCTTAGGAAATAAAAGTAATTTGAGCAGGTGCTGGTGGCTCATGCTTGTAATTCTTCATACACTTGACATCGAAGCCTAGAGTATTGTGGTTTGAATTGAGCATGGGCTGAATAGCTTGTGAAGCTTCATTTCTATTCAATGAACAAACAGACTAAAAACATAACTCAAGTGATGTAGCTCTAATCAAGAAAGTCATAGCACAAATCTGTGAATACAAACCCATTACAAGAACAGCAACAAAATGAATTGAAACCACTTGATATGAAAGAATGTCTGCAAAACAGAAAAATGTTTACCAGATTAAAGAGACAGTTTGGGTAAAGAATTTCAAAAAATCTTGCAGCTATTTATGTGAAAAAATATAATACCTAGTATATATAGTGAACTCAAAACTTAAAATCAAGAAATAAAAAATCAATTAGCATATAGACAAAGTAATTGAACAGATTCTAAAAGAAGTACAAATACATTAAAAAAAAAGTTTATCCCCTGTTGTCACTCTATTTGATTTTGGTACACTGTGTCTTGTATATATGTTTATCTGAACTGGGGAAAGGAAGTGGAACAACCAAATGGTGAGTCACAGGACAAAGGGTGAACCAATGCAACAGTGATACTCACAAGACAACGTGTTGGAAATGAATCTCAGGTAATCCCACTTGAGAAGAAACTGTGGATGAGTTCTAGCAAAAAGCATCAGCATAAACCTCCTGTTATCAAGAATTTCTAATGACAGACAACTGAGCTTGTCATTCTAGCCATGGTTGTTGACTTTCCTGGAATGGATCTGAGTCACAGAGCTCAGCCAAGCACTCTCTGTCTCTCTGTCTCTCTGCCTCTCTCTCTCGCTCTTTTTCTCTCTCTCTATAATTATATATATATATAATAAATATATTTATTTTTTAATTTAAAATTTTATTGTAAAGGTGATGTACTGAGGTGGTCACAGTTACATAGGTAAGGTAATGAGTACATTTCCCTTTGAACAAAGCTCCCCCCTCCCTCAATTTTTCCAACTTTTTTCCCTCGACCATCTTCCACTAAAATTGTAAAATTCATTTCCAGTGTAGTATCCAGTGAGTTTCACTGTTGAATTAGTTTACCCTTTGTCCTACCTTTGTTGAGATTGCCTTCCCTTCCTGAAAACAGATAAACTTATATAAAAGACAAAGGATATAGAAATAAAAAACAAAACAAAACAGTGACATCAGGAAATAAGCCAAAGGGAAAAAAAGAAATAACTGCAAATAGTATAATTAAAAACACTCTTATTTCCATTTCTTGGAATTCATTTCTACAAGCATCATTTTATTTGATCATATGTAAAAAACTATTGAGCCATTGTGATCCTTTCCAATGAATATCCTACACAAATAAACACAATTTTTGAGACAAGATCTCACTTTGTAGGTCAAGGTGGCTTCAAACTCACCAATACTGTTTCCAGCTCCCAAATGCTGACATTACAGCTGTGCACCACTGTGTCTGATGATGCCTGTTTTCTTACAAAAGCTCTTACATGTTTAGAAGTTAGTAGACATGTTTAGAAGTCTACTAACTCATTAGTAGAAAGATCTGACATGAGGGGCTGGGAAGGTGGCTCAGTGGTAGAGCGCTTGCCTTGCATGCCTGAGGCCCTGGGTTCAATTCCTCAGCACCACATAAGCAAAAAGAAAAAAGCCGGAAGTGGCGCTAGCCTTGAGCTGAAGAGCTGAGGGACAGCGCCCAGGCCCAGAGTTCAGGACCCACAACCGGACCCCCCAAAAAAAAAGAAAGATCTGACATGATCATAATCAGATTCAGTGAGACTGCTATCACTTTCAGTATCTTCTGTGGCACAGGTTAAAACACTGTATGATCTAACTACAGTTTTTTTTTTTCCACAGCTCAAAGTTATCCTTACTAAATTCGCTCTTTTTCCAATCATTTTCATTTCTTAAAATCCTTTCTTGATTCTCAGGAATTGACATATCAAAAATAGAAATTAAACCATTGTACTTTAGTGTTATTTTTCCTTTAGCAGTTCTTCATTAATAATATGAACAATATATTATATTGTCTCCATATATAATCCAAAACAGTACAAGGAGTGATAAATAAATTCACATGCAGAATAACTTTTGTGTGTAATATTGACTTTTGTACAATATTGTACACTTATGACTAAAAAGATATTTGAATGTGTGCTCAAAATGTAATTCATCTCACTGTTCTCATTTGTGATAATGTCTGGTAAATAAGTTAGTTTATCAAGGAAAAACATTACATTTATTATAAGCCTGTTGAAAAAATCCTTGCTGTGTGTGTAACTTGGAGAACCAAGTTTCATCACTGAACCATCAAAAAGTCAATTACTTCCAGCCAACTCATTTCTCTTCATATCCATTCAAGAGGAAAACCTTAGGCTATGAGCACATTCTCTTTGGGATAAAGATGGCATATTATTGAAGAGAATTAGTATTGTTGCTTCTTTCTTTGCTCACTGCATAATAAAGGGGCTTCTCCTTAATAATATTTAAGAGTGGTTAATTCAATCTATGTGTAAAGGCTACCAAAGGAAGGATGGGATTAATTGTTAGTCCAAATTAATAAACGTCAAATTTTCATATTGCATTACCTGTTTGTGTGCTAGTCATTGTTTTTCAGGTGATATGAAGGTATACTTGGAAGTAGTAGTAGTCTAAACAACCTATAAAGCTATAGAAGTAATGAGAAAAGTCTTCCAGGTAGATAAGAATAACAAATCTACCTATGACAAAGTTTCCATAATTCACACTTTATCACTACCTATATGGCCAATGCTTTTCTAGAAGTAGACTCCATCTTTTCTGTTTCCATAGTGACCATGCTGAAATCTATTTCCTTCCTTCAGAGAAGGGCAATTGTAAAGTAATGGGAAGACAATACATTGATATAACAAAGAAATTTCACAACGTGTTATTATTAATAACTGGAAAGAAAGGATATTTTAGCAAAGATGGTACATTCCAGATGAACACATTACAAGTGATTTATTTATCATGCTTTCAAACTTTAGCTAAGGGAAAATACTTATTATACTTAGAGTGATGGAACTCTATACTTAAAAATGATTGAAGTGGCTAATTTTATGTTGAGTTTATTTTTACCATAACTTACAAAAACCAAATTATTTTAGTTAGACTTTCAACGCAAAATTAATAGTTTCAGTAAATTAGTTTAATCTTATGGTTGAACTGAAAGAGGGAAATTTACATGCTAATCCAATTATAAGTGAACCTATTATCTCTTTATAATTCATCACATTATTATACCAAACAGAAGGTTCTCAAGATACAATACTGTTTTCCAGTCTTTGTGTAATTCCAGAGACTGAGTTTTAATCATAGCAACCACTTACACTGCTTCAAAGAATTACTGCTCCTGAATCTTAAGTGTGTATTGATGCTTTTATAACAATGTGAAATCATTGTTACTTAGGTGTTATTATGACAGTATTAAAATTATACTGGGCTGCTCCAGCTTCATTTAAACTGTAAACCTCCAGGCCTAACATTTTG